GTAATTCTGGTGGGTTTTGTTTGTGTGTACTCCTGTAGAATGTGTGTATGCATTTTTAATTTTCACAACTGGTAGCGTTATATGTCTGTTGCCTACTTTCCTTACTCTTTTCACTCAGCATCATGGAACATGTTCTGTACCTGCTAAAGGAAGATGAATTCAGCACACTTTATAAAGGAGAATATCACAGATATTCTGTATATCAGAATATACAGATATACCTGGAGTCCTTCCCTTCTGTTTGCCATCCATGGCGTAGATCCACATTTTGCCTATTTTTTCCAAAGACGGAACTCGGTCTGCTTCCAACTTTCCCCTGCCAAAAATAATGCCGCATAAATATCCCTTTATGGACCTGTATGAGAATTCTTTGGGATATAGTGCCAGGAGAGAATTAATGGATAATAGGGTATGTATGTATTAAATTAACTAAGAACTAGCAGGCAACTCCTCAGAATGGAGTGTGTATACCTACACTTGCGCCAGCAATGCATGAGAGCTCCTGTATCACACATACCCACCTACCCTTGGTGTTATCCAGTTTTTTAACGTGTTTCGCCCTTACAGTTATAAAATGATTGATATCTTGTGGCTATTTTAATTTGCATTTCTCTGTTTACTAATGAATTCAAACATTTATTTGTATGTGGTTTTTCTCTTTCCTTTTTTTGGAGACAGAGTCTTGCGTCTTGCTCTGTTGCCTGGGCTAGCATGCCGTGGCATCAGCCTAGCTCACAGTAACCTCAAACTCCTGGGCTCAAGCGATCCTCCTGCCTCAGCCTCCCGAGTAGCTGAGACTACAGGCGTGCATTGCCACAACTGGCTAATTTCTTTCTATTTTTAGTAGAGACAGAGTCTTACTTTTGCTGAGGCTGGTCTCTAACTCCTGACCTCAAGCGCTCCTCCAGCCTTGGCCTCCCAGAGTGCTGGGATTACAGGTGTGAGTCACCACGCCCAGCTATTTGTATGTGTTTTAGCTATATGGGTTTCCTCTTCTGTAAAATGCCTGTTCATATCCTCTGCCCTTTTTTCTGTCGTGGCTGCTGTTTTTGTCTTGTCAGTTTGTAGAAGATCTTTGTATATCATGGACATTAATCACTTGTCAGCTTCAGATATTACAAACTTTGTCCATGGTCTCCAACAGCAAACAGGCATCTTTTAAATGTTGATGTAATCAAACCCTTCAAAACTTTACCTTGCTATTTGTGCTCTTGAGGTGCCCTTCCCCACCCCTAGATCTTAAAGGCATTCGTATTTTCTTCTCTTAACTTTACAGTTTCTTTTTCCATGTTTAGGGTCTAATTCTCCTGGGATCTACCTTTCTGTGTAATATTATGTAGGGTCTAGTTTTATTTCTATCCACATAATGAGTCCATTTTCTCTACACCATCTATTTAGTGATCTGTCCTTTCCCCATTGCTTTGTGGTGCTACATTTATTGTATGTTAAGTTTCTATGTAGACATGGATCTAACTCTTATCTCTCTAATCTGTTCCACTGGTCAATTTGTCTGTCTTTGCACCAATAACACACTGTTATTGTTTTATTCGTTATGACTTTGTTTTATAGTTAAGTCTCAATATCTGGTAAAGTGACTCCTTCTTCTTGATTCTTCTTTTTCAAGTTGACTTAGCTAAATAAATATCACAGAAAGTTTTATCACATTCCTGAAAATACACATTAAGATTTTGATTGAGATTGTATTTTTAACGGCTTTTATTGCGATATATTTTATGTACTATAAGATTTACCCATTTAAAGTGTACAATATAATGGCTTTAAATATATTTATAGAGTGTATGATTATCACCATAATCTAAATTTATAGAACATTTTCATCATGCCCCCCAAAAACCCTATACCCATTAATAGTCACTCCCCATTCACCCCCATCCCCACCATCTCTAGCCCTAGGCAGCCACTAATCTACTTTCTGTCTCTATAGAGTTGCCTTTTCTGGATATTTACTATAAATGGAATAGTACAATATACAATATGAGGCCTGTTGTGTCTGGTTTCTTTCACTGAGTATGAAATGTTCATGTATGTTGTAGCACGTATTGATACTAGCAAGCCCCATTACTATCTCACAGACCCTTAGGGACTAATTCTGCTGCCATGTACATCCGAGGGGTTCCACATGCTGCCATCAGTAGCTGAGCTCGTCACAACACCAGTTCTCTTCCACTGACAATACCCACCTCCACATACACAGAGAGTCACTACACTAAATGTTCTCTAAGGAACCTTCCAGTTCTGAAATCCTGATTTCCCCTTTTATCCTCATAGGGCAGTGAGGGACACTTTCAGTAATGAGATCAAAACCATGAAGAAATTTGATTCTCCCAACGTCCTGCGTATATTTGGGATTTGCATTGATGAAACAGGTAAGAGGAGCTCCTGGGTTGATAAAGCTTTTGATGACCCGGAATGTACCTTCTGTGTTTTAATGTGTTGCATTTTTTAAGAACAACAGAAAGAGTGGAATCGACACAGTGTGATTATTATCAATGTTAATTTTCTTTGCATCCCAAGAGGCATGTTCCCATCTTCTTTCAGGAGAGTGGGGCTGAAGCCTGAGGGTTGGTTTGCACTAATGTGGCCACTTCTCCTTTCAGTCCACTGGGAACCAAAGGGGTGTGCGTTCAGATGCCAGCCAGGGTGAGGGGTGCATTGTGTTGCTATTTAATATAAAACATTATAAAGCCGCCTGACCCAAATAAGAAGGACGCCCTTGGTCATCATTAGTGTAGACCAAATCTAAAAACAAAAGTCAGGTTGCCCCTTTACCAAGATCCTCGTGTCAGCTTCTTTATTTTTTATTTTTTAATGTGGCTGCATGTTCTCTCATAGCATGACCTCTCCTGCTGTTCATGTTTTGCTGCTCTTGCCTAGAGAGAGGACAGAGCAACTCCCATCTTATCCCCTCTGGAAGTTTCTCCACAGCCTCAGGCCAGCCTGATTTCAGAGCATAGACTCCCAGCCTACAGGCAAACTTTCAGTGACCTGTGTTCTCCTGGGCGAGAGCGGAGGTGGCTGACTCACTCATTGTGCGTTGGTTTTGCATCTCAGGCCCACAAACTGAGACTCAACTTTTTGTCTGAGTCCCCCTGATCACCCCTGCCGTCTGTGCACCGTTCATTCTTTCCACACATCTGTACTAAGCTCCTTGTGAGCACCGTATGAACACAATAAACACATTTCCTGCCCTCTTGGTGCTTACACTTGAGTGAGGAAGACCTTACTCAAACAACTACTCAAACAAATGTAGAATTGCAACATGCCAAATACCATGAGGAAGAGGATGGGAATTCTAGGGGTGTTTGACCTTTTCAAGGCGATCAGGGAGCAAACTATGTGGGATGGGGCTGGAGGGTTGGGGGACAAATGGGACTCACAGCAGAGCCAAGTCTATCTCTGCACAGAGATGGGGAGAGGTGGGCTGCGGACAGTGGCAGCTCTCCGTGGGGCTGGGTCTTCATAGCGTCTGGTTCCTTTCCTTCAGCGACTCCGCCTCAATTCTCCATCGTCATGGAGTACTGTGAACTTGGGACCCTGAGGGAACTGTTGGATAAAGAAAAGGAACTCACTTTCGGTGTGCGTGTCGTCCTAGTCCTGGGGGCCGCCAGGGGCTTGTACAGGTACCAGATGGGGTGAAGGGTGCCAAGGAGGGCTGGGTGACTCTGTCTACACTACTGATAATCCCAGAGGTGATGAGTGAACAGGCTAGAAGCCCCAGACAGCCTCCCTTCCATACATTGTTTTACTGTTTACTCTGATTTTAGACAGGAGTGGGCAAGGAGACTAAACCAGTGAGCAAGAGCTTACAGAAGTGAAGGCTGAATTTAATGTTCATGCCATTCTTGTAGAGTTGGACAGGCCCTAATCTTAGTGTTGCCAGATTTAACAAATAAAAATACAATATACCCAGTTAAATTTGAATTTTAGATAAGTAATGAATCATTTTTAATATAAATATATCCTAAATTTTCCATAGGACATACATTAAATTTCAGATACATGAAATTTCAGATAAGCAATTTTTTTTTAGTGTAACTCTATCCCATGCAGTTTGAGGGCATACTTATACTAAAAATATTATTCACTGCTTATCTGAAACTCACATGTAACAGAGTGTCCTGTATTTTATTTGGCAGCTTTACCCACTCTCATGCAGAATCTGTGGTTCCATTAGCTCAAGGGGCCCTAAACCACCTGCAGGTTTTCACCATATCCACAAAGCCACCAGTATTATTTACTTAACATTTTTCTTTAAATTGGCTCACTTTTAAAAATCTAAAGAAAGTTTTTAAAGGCTCATGCCCATAATCCTAACACTCTGGGAGGCTGAGGGAGGAGGATTGCTTGAGGTCAGGAGTTTGAGACCAGCTGAGCAAGAGTGAGACCCTGTCTTTACCAAAAATAGAAAAAAATTAGCTAGGCATGGTGGCGTGTACCTGTAGTCCCAGCTACTTGGGAGGCTGAGTCAGGAGGATTGCTTGAGCCCCAGAGTTGGAGGTTGCAGTGAGCTACAATGATGCCACTGCACTCTAGCCCAGGAGACAGATTTTAGCGATCCTCCTGCCTTGGCCTCCCAGAGTGCTAGGATTACAGGCATGAGCCACTGTACCTGGCCCATATTCTGTTTTGACTAGAAGTGTCCTAGGCATGGTCCAGACATCTAGCCATGCCGCTGAGCATTTTGGTCTGCCCAGCACTTCCCAGGCAAAGACCACAGTGGCACCTTCATCCTTCTCTAGCTAAGGTGGCCCCTCGTGCCAGATTACACACACTCCACAAGGGCCATCACACCCACTCGTACAATGCATCTTAGCTCTGCTATATATTCACAGCATGCAATTGTCAAACCTTGCCTCTGCATCCCATTTTTCCCGGCTGTCCATGGGTAGCTACCTATGAGGAATGCATGGGACTGACCAGCCTCATTATCCCAGTGATGACTATCAAGCCACCCAAGAAAGTCTGTGCAAAGGTCATTAATGCTCCCCGCCTTTTGTTGTGTCAGGCTACACCATTCGGCAAATCCTACACTCCATAGAAAAATCAGCAGCTCAAGCTTCCTTGTAACTGCAGGCTACGAAGTAAAGGTGAGTGCATTTCAAGGGGCTCTTCAGGTCAGACCTGCATGATTGGTGCCGGGAGAGGAACACAAGTGTCTCAGGAAGGCTGTGCTTGTTTCTTGCCTCGATTTTAGAGCTGAGTTCAACTCTTCCCCTGCCCATACAGCTTTCTGTGTGCCCACCACAGGACAGACCCAATCCTTGCCTCCTGTTCTGAAGCCTGCCTTCCCTCGTCACCCGCTTAGCAGGGATGGGCTAAGAGTCATTTCCCCGTAGATGCCTGGACACTATTCCTGTGTCCCTAGAACACCCACCAGGGGATCTTCTTAGGTCTGACAGGGGAGTGAGACTCACAGGACTGCCATAGGCCACACTTCGCATTCAGAGTTACTTAGAAAGGTACCCAGCAGAAAATACAGATGCCAGCTGCACCAAAGCCTTCCCTCCAGTGAGAGTCCCCACAGTCATCCAGGAGATACTCTCTTTGTCCCCGCCCCAGGTGCTAGAGAAAGAGGCTCCCATCAGCTAGCTGCGCCATCCAAGCTTAGAAGCCCTGCGACTGCAGGAGTCAGTATCGCTTGCAACAACTCTGCGGCACAACTTCCAGTGTTCCGGCAAGGGACATGTCAGTTACTGATTGTAAAAGTTGCCACAAAGTCCAGCATCCCTATCGGCTATTTACTGTATCATCCCCTTACCCATCCCGACCCCATCCAGAAGCAATTCACCAATCAGCAGTCATTTTTTATCATCAGCAATGTTACTAAGGAGCATAGGTGACAGTTTACCTTTATCAGGTTTCCAGGGGAACAGAGCTAAAAAGTTAACTGGAAGTCAGATTTTCATACAGAAGAGGAAAGGGTTTTGTGAACTTGATGTCCACAATTGTCAAATGCTAAAAACAAAGAATGTTTTCTTTGTCATCCATAGATGGTTTCCTTTCTTCCAGTCTTATGAGTGTCAGGGATGGCCCTCAATGAACAGAAGACAGGTCTTTTTGGCCTCAGATGCCTTCCCTCCCACCTCGCCAATGGTGCTATAAGTATCCCCGAAGCACTGTGTCTACACCGCTTTCATGACCCTCATCCCGCCTGACTGTAATGGGTGCTATGCCACCTTTCATCCCTAGTATTTACTATGGTTCCGCATGTCAGAGACTGTCGGTGCTCAGTAAACATGTGACTGGATGAGTTAAAGGGGGATAAGCTACCTCAGTGTCTTATCCTTCTCCTGACCTCGCCCCTAGATTTGGGTACCTGGCTGAGTTTGGAGCTGGCAGCCTTCTGCACACTGACGGTGCCAATGGCACAAGTGCATGGAGCAGAAACATATACTCTCGCTGGTTGTGCTCCAGCTTCTTTAAGAACATCACGTGGGGCCAGGCCCGGTGGCTCACACTTGTAATCCTAGCACTCTGGGAGGCCAAGGCGGGAGGATCGTTTGAGTTCAGGAGTTCAAGACCAGCCTGAGCAAGAGCAAGACCCTGTCTC